GGCTTAGATCCATTTCTTCTCCAGAGAAAGTGGGATTTGAGAGGAAGGCTTTCTTTTGAAATCCTCTTATGGGTAAAATTGAAAAAATGAAGAGAAAAAAATCTGTGTAAAGAAAATTTCAGTTAATTATAAGCTTACAAGAAATAACATTACTTAGATAAGAGCGCAATTGGGACCAGAGAAAAAATACCGAGATTTCACTGTAGAGAGGTTCGATTGTATAAAAGGAAGATATTCTTGTATTAGGTCATAGAAACCGTCTCAAGGAGAAGAGGAAAAGTGAATTTGAAAAACTCACATAAAGTTAGTATAGCAGTAACTATTGTCAAAATACAGTTTTAAATATACAAGGAGAAATTTATATATTTTTATTCGCAATATTTTAAATAAGCAAATCGCAGAATTGTTAGTCAAAACATGAAAAAGAAGTACGACCTGTATAAGATTTGTTGGCTCACGTTTTGATTATAAGCAAATTTTACTTCTGTATACCCAGTAAGAGAGAGGAATTCTTCTATGCTTTATCATTTTTTTTTTGCCAAATTTTGCATCTGATCTTATTAAATTCCATTCTCTAAGTTGAAATATACAGTATTCTCCCGGTAAGCTGGCAGATATCTGACCAGATCACTATAGGATTACTGGAAAATCGATAATAACGCAATTAAACAGAAAAAAAAAATTATGTATTATTGAATTATAAAATTTAATACAGTACATGCAAGTAAAGTGTCAAACATACGAAATAAATGACTTGTCAGCCGGTCTAGAAACGCGGATTAAAAGTATTGTATTTCGAAAGATTTCACTTTTCAAACGGTAGAGGGAATTCTGCATTTAGTCCCAAAGAGTTAAATCAAATTTAAAAAGCAGTTGTTCCTCTGTAGAATTTAGGGTATTTAAAAGACCCGTAGACAAGTCTACTAATCTGCGAAGCATGTCCTCCAAGAGTATTATGTGACCGTACAAAGATTTCTCGTTTAATAACATCTGCATTTAAGCTTTTGGATTTCCCTGAGCTTTATAAGATTCTAAAAGTGGGCGCAGGTTTATATTTTGCATTATCTCTATAGCCAATATCAGCTCGATATTGCCCAAATCCAAGTACTAAAAACAGAATAAATTATTGATTTTGTTATAATAAAAATTGGCTTCATACGTCTATAAAATATTATCTCAAAAAGATAAATATCATAGTATTATTTTAGACAATAATATCTTTGAAATGAATATTTTTTTTTTTTTAAAAAAAAAAAAGGACATTATTGGTATTTTTTGGTGATAAATGAAATTGTGATGGCTATATTTTAATATTTTCGAACAATTTATCGCATAGCAGAATGTTTTTAATCCAGACGGGTCACTCTAAAATAATAAAATTTCAAAAGCATTTCATTCTTTAATTTTATTAATGCAGCATCTGAAACTTTATTTTCAGTAACCGAGTAGGTATCGCAGTGAACTCGTGGCCGAACATGTTTTAATCCAAACGCGTGTTCAAATCCTGATTCTAATATAGACGTGTCATGCATAGAGACTGATGCACTATAAATGTCTCGGAACTCTTTTAAGTCCTCACTTTTGAATGGTGTGAAAGTTAGAACAATGAGGTGCCACCTCAGGTGTTGACCTCGTCAATTGACTGTGACTTAAAATTATGCAACCCATCGCGACAGCCTTCGTGTTGCTTCTAAGTGCTATATTAATGAACAGTCAATCAATCAAAGAAATCTTTTATGAAGTTAAAATAACAAAAAAAAGAAACTATAATAAATTTAATATCATTTTTTGTTAAAAATGTTGAAAAGATTGCATAAAAATGACATTTTCCTTAAAAATTTGGTTTTATTGTTCAGAAAAATTAACTGAAAACAATTTCAAAATTTTATGTAATCTCTGTGTCATACGAGCTTTTCATAACCGGCAAATTCAAACGAGATAACTTAAGGTTTTTACAGATCATGAAATTATGTCCATTTAAGAAATATCTTTTGATCGATAGCTGTTCAATCTAAAAATAAAAAAAAAAAATCTTTTGGGCATTATAACAAATAACGCTTTCAAACCAAATAATTTTGGAAGTATTAAATATTTTTTAATGATATTGAACTAAAAATTACACTCCAAACATTATTAAATAAATGACACCATCACATATTCGAATTTGTAAATTTACAATCTAAAATAAAATGACTGGCAAATTAAACACTATCCACTAAAACTATTACAAAATTTTACATTTGAAACTGCTTTTTAATGACATATTAATTTTTTTTTCAGTGTTTGATATCATTACGGCGTTTGCGCGCAAATTTAAAAATTAATTAAATAGAAAATATATATGTTCTTAAATTATTTCTCTCCTAATCAACTTTGCTAAATATATTGCTTTTTTTTTTACTGATCCCTGCTATCAATTCTTCAAAAATAGTCTTTTCGCCTTTTAAATGAATTAAAAAAGGGAGACTAAGATAAAATAATGCGTGTAAAGATATTAAACTCTTCATATGAATCAATTTAAATTCTATTTAAAAAAAAAAAAAAATGTTCCAACTGATATTGTATTTATATATAAAAAAAAGTATTTCACTGTTTAAGAATGTTAAATAATTTTCGGTTATTGAGGAATTTAATGATTGCTTAGAAATAACGCTGTTATAATTCTACACGAGGAATATTGATGAAATTCTTCGTAATTTTGTTTGTTTGTGAGGACGACGACACCTGAACAAATCTCTCTTTTCTAACTTCAACAATACCCATCCCGGTAACCGAGTGATAATGGTCGCGAACTTATGGCCGGTGTTGTTCCTGTTGAGTTTTGATTTCACTAAAAATCCCTCGCATAGTGGAACTGGTTCACGTTAAATCTGTCAAGGCTTTAAGTCCTCACACAGGCGTGTTGTATGGAAGTTTGGAAAGTGTGATGCCAGCTCAGATACTGTCCTCGTCATTTGACCATGGTACAAAATTGAGAGTTCCGTCACCAAGACCCTTGTGTTTCTCCTGCTATATGTAACCGCGGTAACCTAGTGGTTATAGTTTCAGATTCGTGGCCGGCGTTTTCCGTTAAGTTGCGGGTTCGAGCCTTGACCGTTGAATACCCGTCGTGTAGTCGGGACTGATGCACGCTAAATCTGTCGGAGCCCAAAGTCCTCCCTTTGGCGTTTTGTGGAAGTTAGGAGAGGGGTGCTAGCTCAGGTGTCGTCCTCGTCACTTGACTGTGGCTCAAAATTTCGTGGTCCGTCGCCAATAGCCCTCGTGTTGCTTCCAGTGCGACGTTAATAAATACTAAACGAAACTAAAACAATTCTAAATTAAAAATCAGTCCATACTATGTCGTGTTAGAGATGTAATGGATTGGTTTTATATAACGAGCAGAACCTCCGTTATTCCGCTTGGCTGTTTTTGTTTGGAATCAATGATGGGATTTTTGAACCTTTGGCTACTCATAACTGTAAAAAATCCTATTTTAAAAGAATTTTACGTTGAGTTGACTACTTTCACTCTTAATCAACCAATCGATGAATTAGTAACCGATTTAATTATTCACAATTCTGGTCAGCTGACAGTACGAGAAAAACTCAGTCCATCGTTCTCCTGTGCTTCATGACTGAGAAGATTTTGATGTTTTCACATATTAATCAAGTAGCGTTTTCCTATTTTCCAGTTAAAATAATAACCGAATGTCACCGATAAAACTTTTTGGTATCAATAAATAACAGAAAGAGAAAACATACTTTTATTTAAGTAATTTATCCAAAAATAATTTATGAATATCCCGAGATTATCGTACAAGACTCATATATTTACATTCGATTGTAGTTATCTTCAATCTGGAACCTATCGATTCGTTTATCAATATTATCATCTGGGACAGATTTCGAAAAGATTTGACCCCTCTTGTTTGTCTTAATCGTTCTATTGAATGATTCCAGCTGCCTATCTCCACCTTACTCAAATTTTCGTTAAGCATAGCCAGCATGTCTCATTTGAGACCTGAGTTATCGTTTGAGTTAACATCGAAACTGTTTGTTTGTTGAGCGTTTCCGGCTGCATATTTCTGCCTATCTCAGATATTCTTTTAACATTGCCTATGCATACTGTATTTATAATCTGAATCACTGTTTGTTTACTCATTGAATGTTTCCGGTTAACTATTTTTGCCCGACTCAAAGGTCTTCTAAACACAGCTAAATCTGCTAACTGCTGAATCACGGTCGGATGACGAAGTCGACATTTGAGCAGGCTCCCCACTCTCTTGCCGACGAGATGATTTTGTGCCCTGATAAATTTAACTTGTTTCAGCCTTGTTTTAACCTGATAAATTTAACTTGTTCAGTTTGAAAACTCCCCCCCATCCCGAGCTTATGAAAAAGATGAAACATGAGCTAGTACCTCACTCATTAAACTTCCACTTCATGCCATGAAAAGATTCTGAGACCCAGTTCAATTTAATGTGCTTCGCCTTCTATCTTACACTTTAACATTTCTGGTGGAATCAGGATTCAAATCTGCGGTTCACCGATCATGAAATTATCAGTCGTGCCATCAAGCTTCCGCAACCCCGAAAAATAAAATTCCAATGACACTTGAATGTGAGTGAATGTGAAGATTATTGGCGCAAGAGCCAGATGTGGCATGTTGCGCCAAACAAGATTTAACTGTGGTTTAGACGTGAAGGAATTGAAAAAAAAATGGTTGATAAGAAGGAGGATCGAAAATAGAGAAGGATTGCTAGGGTAGCCCGGGGGTGCGTCACCCGTGTTTACCAAAGATAGTAAACCCCATAGGAAAGAAAACGATCTTTAGGGAGCCTCGGGGTCATGATGCCTATACTTACCTAAAGAAGGCAAGTCCTTGAGGTCCCCTGATATAATCCCCAGTGGCAGTATGCCCGGCTATATCCCCAGACAATGGGTACTCATTTTAATTGCCTCTTACGACATTCATGAGCTCAGTGGGACTGTTCTGTCATTCCCGGTCTTAACACGATCCATTTTTTTGGGATTCAAACCCACGACTTTTGGATTAGAAGCCCAACGTGCTATCCTCTGCGCTACAGGGACTACGGCAATTGAATATATGAAACATAACTCCAATATAATAGGGGTAACATTTATTATGGATTACGTTGTACTTTCCCTGATGTTTCATTTTCTAAGCCAATGTGGTAGACGAGTGTTCATAATCGCAAACTTCACGGCTAGCTATTTTTGAGCCAAGCAATGGGTTCGAATCCCAATTCTACCTAAAGCCCACCTTGTGAAAAGGAAATGGCCTATAAGTCTGTAAAAAGTGTGAGTTTGTAATTAGCAGAGGGAATTACCAACTCGGGTATATCCCTCTTCACTTGACCATGATTCAAATCTGTGAGGTTCTTCACCAATAGCCCGCGTATAACTCTACTCTAGTTTAGTTTATATTAACATTGCACTAGAAGCACACGAGGGCTATTGGCGTCGGACCTCGTAATTTTGAACCACGGTCAAGTGACGAGGATGACATCTGAGCTGGCACCCCCCTCTCCTAACATCCACACCACGCCCACGGGAGGGCTTTGGGCCCCGAACAGATTTAACGTGCATCAGCCCCGGCTACACTGCGGCTCTTTGGCGGTCAAAGATCGAACCCGCGACTGAACGAAAACCACCGGCTGCTAGTCCACGACCTTGACCACTAGGCTACCGCGGCCCGCGTATAACTCTAGAGTTACATTAATTCAATATTAATACGAGATCATTAATTCCGAGTTATCTCACTTAATTTCATTTACTCATCCAAATTCAAAAGAGGGAAGAATTTCCCAAAAGGGCTTTTAAAGAGAATTTAACTATTGTGTATGAAGCCATTTCCATACATTAACGTCTATGGGGCAAGTAAGGGCGAAAGCGATCGAAGACATGTGCGTGCGCATCGCATTAAATACTCTATAATAATGAAATGTTAATTCCGTACGCAGTCGTTTCTACTCGCGAGCAGTTTAGCATGCGTGAAGTAGCACTGAAACTGACATTTAGATGTCAATACACGTTTGTATTTATCTTTACTCGCCGCATGTGCATTCAGATTTAGAAAAGACTTATCATAAGTAGAAAATACTTCGACATTCAGACGGATGTGTCGAAGATAATTAAAATGCCCTGCAGACATCTAAATAACGCAGACTGAGGAACATTAATTCCTTATAAGTAGCAATGATGACTTTATTAACTGTAACCTGGTGGCAGAATCATCAGCTTAATGACTTGGTCCAAAATATTGCCAGAAAATCGAACTCCATTATTTTAAATTGTCTTGAATTACAAAGAATTCTTCTTGCAGTTTAATCTATAACTTTCATTTGGATCCCTGCACACAAAGGAATTGCTATTAACGAAGAAGTTGACAATCTTCCAAAACGGCCACCAAATCCTTGGAATATTATTTCTTAGATATCAACAGATCTGCAATCTTATTCCCTCCCTTTCCCCCCCCCCCAAAAAAAAAAAATTGAAGAAAAATCGACCAATAGTATCCCACATAAGAATTTTAACTACATCTCTCGCAGAAAATTGGAATAATCAAGCGGCAAAAAATAGATTTACAGAAGTACCAACCAATGGGGTTCGACCCCCAAAAGTTGCCTCTAAATGATTTACCTTATAAACAAGGTGATTCCCTACTTTGTTCTTTTTGTAGAGTACCGGAGATACAAGTGAACATTTCATTTTAACCTGCTCAAAACAGAAGGTTCAAAGAAAGAAACGTCTTGAAAATATTTATTTTACAACATGGTGATTTGTCCTATTCAACAATAGTGAGACGAAAGATCATATTAAAGTTGAAGAATTTCTTATCTCTACCCATATATTCTAAACATCCCAATTTTCTCTAAATTTGCAACGAATATTGTAGTTTAAACTCGGTGCACTGAGTGATCGAATCTTCGGAGCAAGTTTAAGTTCGAACACACTCATGACTCAATCATGAAGATACTAGGAACATTAGGCAATGAGCAGAGCTCCAAATACACTACAGAATTACGCATTGAACTGAACTGAGTTCAGAACTGCAAAGTCAAGTCTTTATTTCACCAAAAAACGATATAACGTGTACCTTCCTGTTAAGTGCGAAACTGAAACTTTAAAAAGTATTTCAAGTCGCGAGTTTCGTAGCAGATGACCAAGAATTCGATCACTGATTCCTGTTACTATGAAAAATAATGGAAACTGTTGTTCTTCAAACTGAACCGAGACTCTAAGTGCTTTTACATGGTATAAGAGTCAGGACATGGATTTAGGTATGAGCTTAAGCGATCCTTATATCATTAAATTTTCAAAACTAATGCTTTCGTCTCCAGTAATGCAACCTGCTTATGAAATATGACGTTAATACACAAAGGAACAATTTTTAGAAATAAGTTGTTCCATTATTAAAAAATATGCAAGTTTGTATGATTTTTACTCAAGTGCTTTTAGATTCGACTATAATACTACATATTATATTTGATATATTAAACTATCATATAATGTCCCTAGCGATCCTTCTCTATTTTCGGCCCTCCTTCTTGTCAAACAATTTTGTGCCTTTTCTTCAATTTCTTCTCGTTTAGACCACAGTTAAATCTTGTTTGGCGCAGCATAGCCATATCTGGCTCTTGCGCCAATAAACTTTATTTTCTCACACTTGACCCTTCTTGTCGATCAATCTTTTTTCATTGTTTCAACGTCTATATCACAGATTTACCTTGTTTGGCACAGTATGGCCACATCTGGCTCTTGCGCCAATAAAACTTCACTATCATCATCTGATGCACTTTAAATTTGTCGAGGTTCGAAGTCTTCCCATTGGCGTAGTGGGGAAATTTAGAGGTGGGGGGGGGTGTCAGCTCATGTATCTTCCTCGTCACTTAACCGAGATTCAAAATTACGAGATTCGTCGCCAATAGTCTTCGTGTAGCTTCTCAGTGCGACGTTCTCATATGGAATTTGCTTTCTTTGACAAACGCGGTTGAAACCCCCTCCCCGTAGGGGGGGGTGTCTTATTGATCTTTTTCTATTTTCTATTTTTCTTCCCGGAAATGTGTTTGGAGCAACTTGGTCAAACAGGACACTTGAGCCATATTCAGCTAAGGTCCTACCAACCAATTAACATTAGAAGATTAGATTATTTGTCTTGGAAATTCTCATCATATGGTGAATCTATAAAAAATACAGCAAAAGTCGTTATTTAATTGTGGTTAAAATTTAAGAGAATACCAACACTGCATTAAGAGAATACAAAATGAGATATTGCATCGCTCTAGTGCTACGGTAAGCAAACTAATCTTATCAAGTCAATTTCGCTTACGAAAGTCTACTCAATTAAAATGTGGCACATTACTAAATCACAAATTGAATGAAAAATTGCGTTGATATAAAAATAAAATGATTTGATGATTTATTTATTGACACAACACTGCATCGCAATATATTAAATCAACTCTAAATAATAAAAAAAGGCATTGTTTTGGCGTAGAACAAAATGAAAAAAGTACTAACTACTTATCTAACTGGCGACCATCACTTCTTTTAGACGGGAAAATCCCGTAAAGATTGCAATTCAGATCTGCAATTGTTTTTATCGATATTCTTGCGTAAATTGGGACTGATTGTTTCTTTGCTTTCTCTATTTTTTTTTTTTCTATTCTAACTGTTAGTGTTTCTAATAACGCTGACAAAGCGTTTTGGCATTTGAATCAATCGTGAGTTTAAAAATATCAGCATTTTCAAAACACTAGCAAAAAATTATCAAGATTCTACTCCCTCCCCCCCGGAAAAAAAATTGGGGGAAATAAAAATCTCATACACAAATAATAATACTAAACATTCTAAGTGTATGTTTTGCAAAAATATTTATTAATTTAATTTGATTTTAAATATTCCCGAATTCAAATTATTATTTTTAACGTTTGAGGGTTTTCCCCCCCTTCTTTTCCTTTACTTTCATTGTGTAAAATTGTTGTGTTTATAAAAAATACTTTTAAAAACATTTATTACGCTATTTATAAATAGATTTAAAGACCACAAATACATTCATTACTTTTTATAATTTCACATACTTTTTCCAAAATAAAGTTGTTTGTATGTTTTTCAATTGTTAATTTTCTGTTTTTAATATTAATGTATATTAAATTTTAAAAAAATGCTTGAAAAATAACTCAGAATTGGTTAATGAATATTGCAATTTTAAACGTTAATAAATTTACAATTTTTGCTATTATTGTTTTGCGTGACTATTGTAATAATTTAAAAAGGCACTAATTAAATTTGGAATAACAAAAACTTTTAATACCTGTAATTATGTTCTAGATAATTGAGGTCTTAATATTAAATTAAGTGCATTTTTCTTGCTGTTAAAAACTGAACACTGTGATTATAGCTATTGAATTTTACAGTGTTTTTGTACTATCAACTATTTACAGTGGGTTTTTTTTATATCGAAATTGTTTATTTTTATTTCATATGACAACTCGTGGAAAATGTGAAGGAAAATGTTTTTAATTTGATAATCCTTTTAAAATGAATGAAATCATTGAACTCTCATCATTTTATATTCTGTGTCACTAATAAATAAACTATTTTATAGAAAATACACTTTCTAAAGATTTAAAAAAATCTTGCATTGAAATGCTCTGATTCAATATCTCTAATATCCATACGTAATCAAAGAAATGAGACATTTTGTATACTATTAACTCTTTATTTTCTTTTGAAAATATTTTTACGGATTTACTTTGACTTTTAGAAGAAAAAAATAAATAAAAACTTGATTGCAGACAACTGAATTAATTCAGCAAAAAAGTCAAATGAGGGAAAAAAAAAAATAAAAAAAACTCAATGTAATTTTAAGCACAATATAAAAAAAAACTGATAGTTTTAAAAAAAATCTTGCAGAATTTTTAAAATTATTTGAGGGAAATGAGTATACCTATGAAAAAAATTGTAAGTAAAATTTGAGTAATAGTGAATCACTCTGTCATCAAAAATATGACTGAAAAACCACTTATGTTCTTTTTGAAGTTTTTAAGAACTGAGAAAAAT